ATAAGTCTTCTTCGAGGATATTAAATCTGTGATGTAATATAATTAGCACTGATTTTACATGACAAAGAATGACTTTGTTACAATACGAGTAGTTTTGTTTGATTCAGAATGATCGAAAACCTATAGACATCTCATTATGAAAACTTAAAAAACTAGACAAAAAAAGGATGTTTCAAGCGTTTTTGACCATCAGTGTGAGGCGTATAATTTATGAACGGAACAAAATAAAAATTTCGGGTTTGTGTAAAATTGTAGATCTTGAGCTGGCGAATCTAATGCACTAATTATAATTGAAATTCCCTACAACTTTTATAGCACTTTAAATACTTCTTTGAATTTTATTGACTGCTCATCAGAATCATAAGGTGACTTTTTTTTTAGCCATCTATAGAAAGATGCAGAATGCTCGCCTCTATCGAATGATGAAAATCACAGACCGATAGCTATTTTCGTTAAAATGTTATTCAAAAAACAATTACCCTTCTTCTATTTTGAAATGGATAATAACTATCGATATCAAATTTTCACTTTCGAATTAAGAGACAGAAACAAAATTTTTACACTTTTTTTTTATCTAAGTACTTAATAGTCCTCAATAAGTAAATATTTCATTTTGATGACGTCAATGTTTTTTACTTACAGTTTTGATTGGTAAAAAAAATATGATCTACTTTGTATGTATCTTATTTTCTTCGATTTATCATAACTAATTGAAAGTTTATTATATGAAATTCGATTTTTTTTTTAATGCATATGATATTTTTTATGAACTTTTCGTCGAAAAAAACAAACAATAACAATATCCCATGCTATAAGAGAAAACATTGAACCAGCACAAAATATTAATTCTGGTTTACTTCGTTGATCAATTATTCTTTGAAATTCCTCATAGTCCCAGTAGACACCATGCATTTGACAAACAGTAACAAAATAAACACATAAATGAAATAAATGATGACCTTGTCCAATAAAATCAAGTACACCAGGACAAAAACGTTGAGGTACATCGAAACCAAAGAGAGTACCACCAATAAGAAATAAAATAATCTGTGCTAAATGACATATTAATGCTGGATTTGATAAAATATTTGATGAATATAAACGTATACATAATGGAACAATTGTATAAATCCATAGAAGTCCACATGGAAAAAATTGACAAAAACGTTTGATGGGTGGATATGGTCGACGATAATAATATTGTGCGAAACAATTTAGAAAACAAGCTAAAATTCCAAGTATAAGAAGGACAAATACATATTGATATTCAATTTTTTCGTAATACCATTGTGGTGCAGAATAATAAATATGAAGAAAACCTGAACCAAAACCATGTAAACTAACGCCAATAAAATCAATTAAAAAACATGTCATATGAACTGATTCAGATTTTGAATGAAATAAATGAGCAAATGCAGAACACATAAACATGATTATTGCTGTACATAATGCTACAGCAAATGGCCATGAATGAGAATTTTCATAAAAATTTAATCTTTTATTATAATAAAAAAGTAAATGTCCCATATATAAAATTCCTATTAAATGACTCCAAACATTGATTGTTTCATTATGTTTATGAAATAAAGATTTGAAATAATAAGACCATGATTGATGAATTGAACGAAAACCACGTAAAATAAAAGGTTCACAAAAAAGTTGTGGAACTTGATTAAATCGTAATGGATAACGTGGCATATCTTGAAGAGATATAAATGCTGATTTTGCACGAAGATGAAGACGTTGAAGATAAAAACGAATATTATATTCAAACGAAAATGAAAATGTAGGAAAATAATCAGTAAAACGTGCTTTGTCCAACATTATTTCTATTGAATCTGACAATAATAATTTGTTTTATTGATTACGATCAGAGCAAAATTTAACTAAAGAAAAACAAATTTTGTTCTTGTTTTTTTTCTATATATTCAATTACAGTAGAATTGTTTCTCTTAAATATTTTCATGTACTTCTTTTTATTCAGGCTGTTATTATATATGGTATATGGTTATCTGATCACAATAGCCGTCATATAGTTTTCAGTGATAAGAAAGAAAAAAATAATTTTAGTTTTTGCAATGTGACAAAAAACATAACTCATATGGAAGTATGTTGAATATTTTAGGTTTTTCGTAATAGACGATTTATAAGAGCATACGTACATTTTCTTCCTACAATGTCGTTTGTCGATGTCGACGTTAATAGCAAATGGCAAGTTGTCGCTGCGATGTCTGCGATTACCGAAGCAAAAGCAATATGTTTCGTTTGAGTTCACTAGCCGAAATGCATACGAATTCCCTTTTTCTTTTCTTTTCTTTTCTTCAAATGCAGCTATAGTTAAAATAATATTGACAAAACTCGAAGTACAAAAGTAATACACAGTTGTCCAATAACAAGCCACACAGCTAGAAAAACTGACGAAATTTTCTATTCTATATCCATAACGTATTATTCAAACACTGTTCGACATTTCTTTTTGTTATGCTGAATGTTCTATTATCTTTGTACTCCAATGCTCTTCAAAAAGTGTAATGCAGAATGAAAACAATAATATATATATAGATAAGATTGACAAGCAAAGAAGTCGTAAAATATAAATATCTTTATTTCTTCTTGATTTCATTTCATTTTCAATATAAATACATGTTTTGACTTTATACATAGATCAATGAGAATGAAAAACAAATGACTAGAATTTAATTTTGTTTTAATCTTTTTGTTGTATCTTTACTAGTACTCGCTGGGCATATATTTCTATTTAAACAAGTTGAGCATCGTGGATGAACTGGAAGGCATTGTGTTTGACCAAAACGAACCATATTATGATTGATTTGATTCCATAAATCTCTAAAAATAGATTTAATTTATAATATCAAAATTACTTCATCATACAGCATAAATTACCGTGGTACCCAAGATTCAAGTGCTAATCGTGTTTGTTCTGGTGTTTTTGTATCATATGGTAGCCAACCAAGACGATGTGAAATACGATGGACATGCACATCAACTCCAATACCTTGATTAGATTTCCAAGCAAAATCCATAGCTTAAAGTTAAAGTGAAATCAAAAGTTGTTAGCACAAATTCTGCGAGATTTAATGTGAAACACAATTTAGTTGCTGTTGCTAATCGCAGGGAGTTGCTCTATTCGATCTATTTTGAGATAGGTTCTTCCAGAAATTCAATGAAGAAGTAGTTCATATATTATAGTAAGACATTATTGATATAAGGTTTTTGATTGTAAATTAATAGCATCTGTCACAATTAGTGAGAGGGGAAACGACTCGAATTTTACCAGTATGCTTTTCCTCTCCTTTTAGATCGTGTTTCTCTAAAACATGAATTTCGCAGTTGATCTTCGACAAATGCTAAATGTTTAATCTTGTTGAAGGTGAAAAAAAACACAAGTTTTGATTATGATCAAAAGCCTGAACTGAGCTATAATCGACTGATTATGGTGTTGGTAGTTATTTCGCTCACACCTTATTTACAAAACTTATGGCAATATTCGACAATCAGCACTGAAAAATTCATTCTATCTGTATTTCACAAAAAATTAATGAATTCACTATAATAATTTACCTAAATAAGCCATTTTTGGACCAACACCTATAAATAATAAATTTATGTTTGTATTATTATATGATGATTTAACTAACCAGGTAGTGCACACAAAGTTTCGATTGTATTCGGAATATCATCATTATATTTATCACGTAATATCTGACATGTATCTTTGATATATTGAGCTTTACGCTAAAATGAAAAAGAAAATCCAATAAAAAATATTTAAGAAAAAATTTGTCTTTGGTTTTCCTACTCGCCAAAAACCAACTGGATAAATAATTTTTCCTAACTCATCAGCATCAATATCAAGTGCATATTGAACAGTAAATCCACGTTCAAGTAAACGATCCATAGCTGCAACTGTCATTGTATCTTTTGTTTGACTAGATAGCATTAAACTAACAAGAATATGTAAACGACGAACCTATTTATATTTATGGTATTTTTTTTGGCTTTATCAAGAAAAACAGACTTTTTCATCAGTAATTGTTTCACCAATAGTATCACAACCACGAGGTTCTAAATGTTTATTTGTTATTCGCATCGCTAAAATATTATTCCAATGTTCCTTGTAAAAGACATACGATAAACTATTGAATAATAATGTTAAAAAAATACCTTCCAATGAGGAGGTTCCCATTTTCGATCATTTCCATCATCATTACTTTTTTTCTGTCGTTTTCTATTAAAATAAACGTTATATCATTTCCACTATTGATATTCAGTTGTGAAAAACACATTCCCTCATTTTTTTGACATGATAATCATTTTATTAACTTGAATCTCTTTTGACTCAATCAGTTATTATTACCTTTAGCTATTCAATGAAATAAATGTATAAAATTTTAAATTAATCCCATGTCATACATAATACGACAACTGAAAAAAACTATCTCTTGAAATGAACCTTCAGCCATATCAATATGGAACAGGATGTTACTGTAACAATAATATATTCAGGAGTTAAAGTGAACAAATGAAATATGCTTTTGTAGAACATGATTTAAAAGGAGTGTTAAAATTCAGTGGTACAATTTTCGATTCCCTTACTCCCCTTCCTTTCCCGCACACAACCTGATCGATGTTATGGATATACTATCAAGGATTGTATAATCATAACGTCTCGTTATTATATATGAAATTTTTTTTTGCAACTTTGAAGGATTAAGCAAATAAATAATGAAGAATTGTATTCCAAAACAGATAGAATAAAACGATATTTCGTAATTAGCAACAGTAGCTATATCATGTTTTACGTACTAACATGGCAATGATTGTACTAACAGCTTTGTAAATAGAAGCATCTATTTAAGGCTCCATTCCACCTTAAAAATCGATCTTGAGTCACATGTATTCAAATCGCATGAAACTTTCAGGATATGTTGGAGCTGTAGTGGAGAACCTATGATAAAATTTGCAACCCTATACGATGATATTTTCGGGAGATATTCAATCAACAACAATCAAAAACAGTTCATTTGGCAACGGAAAATTTTCTGTACGGTCTCATTTTATAAATTTAATTTTCTTTTTTTATTTGAAAGAGTATGTCAAATTGCGGTGCCTTTTTAATTTTTATTTTTTATGTGAAGAAAAAGTATTACAACTTCAATACCTCGAAAATTTCTCAAAAAATGGTCATCTATTTATAGAAGTGCTTTTCTATATCATCATAAAAAAGGTTAATTCAAAAAATGCGCTCTGCCTGACACTGTAGCTTCACATGCTCTTTCAGGCAAAAGAAAATTAATTAACTACAGTGAAGTTACTTTGAGAATTTGTGGATGCACGATCACAAAAAAACAATAGATTTCATGAAAAAAAAAATTTTTTCAAGCAGAAGATGACAGATATCATCAACAATTGTGGTCAAAAAAAAATGAGATACCAAATAAAGAAATTCTGTCATTTATAAAAGATTAGATGTTAGACTATCATCTCAATTTCAATTTGTCTGATGAAAATTGACTGTTTTTTAACGAAAACGAGAAGTCTTAAATCGAAAGTTCGAAGTAACATAATATCAATGAAATCATTTTAATACAATTAATTCATCAAATGAAACTTGTGTATTCATATTATTCATGCCAAATACCCCTACTCAAGATATTTCGTGCATCTAAAAGAAAGTTTACTAACATTTTAAAAATTATAATAAAGATGTTGACAATCGAAAATCTCTAATTATGTATTCGTTTTTTTTTATACTTCTATAATTAAACATGCTTCAGTGTAAAAGAATGCAGAAGATAAGAACTCGTTTGTGGCTTCGACATACTTGAGTTGCTATGCAACAGCTCTCAACTAATTTTTCAAGTTATACCGATATAAAAATAATTTCACGGGATACTTTTCATTTTTGTTCTTTCACAAGACAGTCATAGCATAATTTATTTTCTGTTAATTATGCTAAATTATATATTATTGTTAATATATTCATATTTACCTAATAACATTTGTTGCTTCATTAATATTACTAATATCGTTTTCCATTGAATTTATTGTTTCTTTTTGTTCTTCACTTTTTTTTTCAAAATATCTATGATTGAAAATAATTTTCTTTTATTTACTAATCTAAATTTATTTTCTCACTTGCTCATGATTGTTTGAATAATAATGCCTTCTTTTTCATTTGCCGTCGAATCCTTTTTTCTTTTAGTTCTATTCTTGACTTTAGACATTGTTTTAAATCAATCAAATAAGTTTTTTTTTTTCTATTATATCTGCAAAAATAAACAATTGAGCTCGTTGAAATTATTTTTTTTCAAAATATCCGATTTCAATCAAAATGCATACTCGAGAAAAAGAAAAGAATTAAATTAAAAAATATATCAAATATACAGTGCCATTAAATTTTATGAATTATTGTCTGATGTATAGATTAGATTTGAAATGATATTCAGCCTTTTGTTTATAGAGTCAATGTCCTTCAAATGAAAGTCTTCTTTTCTTTGTTTTTCTCTTTTTTTTTTCTCACACATTGCAACTATAGTCGATAGGCGTATGATATTAAAATTAATTTAAATAGAAAAACATATACTTCTCACATAAAGTTACGTTGCAGTTTTTTTCGCACTTCCCACGCAATAGTCATCTGCAAAGAAAATATATTAACAACATTTTATTTATTTATCGCTTGAATTTTAAATATATATTAAAACGAATAAAGTAAGCTGTAGAATGAACGAAATAAGATTTATTTTTTATATGATGAAATATTTATCTTGTCTAGATAAAATAAAAAGATGTTAGTAAGCAGTAGAATGGCTTCGATACCTTGTTCACCTCGGCATTCAGCATCTAATATGAAAGATCTTCAAAATATACTTCAAAGTCCTCTTATTTCATACATATCACCATCAACAACACCTCCATTACAATATTTTAATATGCGTGTTACTGAACGGCTACATCGTTATCGTTCATTAAAGCGACATTGGCATGATGTATCAACAGCTGTTCAACACGAATCTTCTTCACCTTCAAAATCAGATTCTCCATTACCTATTCTCGATACTACACCATTAACACAAGAACAAACTATAGAACAAAAAGTTAGTGATGTAAAAGATTATATTACTCCAACAACAATATCAATGAAAGAAAATAATGAGAAAAATTCCAATGAAATTAATCCATTACATTCACGAATACATCAAGATTTAATCGACTTACGAAAATTAATTAAGACTAGAGAAAAGAGACATATCGAGCTCGTAGCTTCGAGAACAAACACATACAATCAGCCATTGGGAGAAGTAATGAATAACTTATTTATTTATTTCAACTAAAAAATTCAGATTCCTAGCATGTCAGTTAACCAAAAAACTATTGGAAGAATTTTTTTAAAATTCAATATGATAAAAGTATATTTGTTTTTTTTTTTAAATTTCATTATGCACACATGCTCATTTCCAGTAATTACATTAAAAAACAAATAAATTAATTTGTTCGTAAATATGATTCTCACAGGCAAACATGAAGAAAAAAAAATCAATCAGAAACAATATAATTGTTTTTAAAGAAATTTTACTTTTATTGTTTTACTTTAATAATAGGCATTAGTAAATCCTGTATTCGATGATCAAGAAACTAATAATGCAACAAATATTGGAAGATCATCTTTAAATAAAGTTAAACTACACGATCGTGTGAAAGTTTCCGGTTGCCAAATGCGCCCATCAACATTTCCACAAAGTAATTCAATAGATAGGACAGTCATTAATACAAATAATTCATCAAATACTTCTTCACAAAATTCAAAACCACAACAAAAAATCAAAGAAAAAGTTCATAGTAAAACATTTAGTATTTGTCGTAGTCGAATCCATGCTTCTCTTTCTTCTGACTCTGTAATGCATGGTACAATTTCGTCGAAGAAAAAGCCCAACACACCACCTAGGATAACTTCAAATACGAATTTAAAACAAACTCAACCTTATCGTCTTCCTATGCCACTAGTAATGAAGAAGAAAGAATCAAGTTTTATTAAACAAGGAACTCCATTACCACCTATTCGGCGACCATCAATCACTGAACAAGCAACAACATGTTCATATAACTATGCAGCATCAACTTCATCGGCAACTCCACGTTCTATGAAAATCAATCGAAATCGATCATTATTACCAATACTTCTAACATCAGTTTCTTGTATCGGTACTCAGCCACAAGAAAATCATGATGAAACACAAGAAAATAATGATGATGATTATTATAATTTACTTCACTATAAACAATTAATAAATCATTTACCAAAACCAATTATATCAATTCGTCCGCGATATAATCAAGATGACTATGGAATATTATTTGAACAAATAGATCATATCCGAGAAACAATGCCGGATTCACACGTTTATGATAATTACACACGAATTTGTTAAAAACAAAAGACATTTCGATTTTATTTTTTATTTTTAAATAACAAAAACTAACAAAAGTTTTCTTTTCTCTTTTCCTATTTCGTTGTATTTATTTTTGGTATTAAATTTTTTGAAAACCATGTTGGTCGTTCACGTTGAATTTCAACAATACGTTTAGTATCATCATGAAATTTTTCATCATTTTTATAAACATAAACAACTTCTTGTTGCGGATGATTATAATTAAATTCATCTTTATTTGGATATAAATCTTTCATAGCTTGAGTTTCTTTTCTTATACGATCATAACAATTTCCACAAATAGTTTTTTTCTCATGCCATGTACCACATTCTAAACATTGATGTAGATCTTGACGTGGTGTACCATATTTTATCATTAATGACATTGGTAAATCTGAATGACGTCGAATACGACGACGTTCAATAGTTGCACGATGCTTTTGAGTTAATAATATTGACATATCAGGTAAAGATAATTTTGGAGTTGTTAATGTTGTTGGTACATCAATAAATGCAAATGTTGGTGAAGAAAATAAAAATTGAGTATATCGAATTAACTGATCAGTTATTAAACGATAACGAGCGACTAAATTTGATAACATGATCTAAAAATCAAGAAAAAGCACTTTGTTATTTGTTTATTTTTAAGCAAAAAAGAAATTTATTTTTAAATAGTTGGACTAAATAGAAGAATATTATCTCGACGAAGAGCATCAGCTACATATTTTAAATTCATTGCATCTTGTAATGATCCATCAATTGTAATACGTTGATTTAAATAAGCTTGTACAAGTTCATTGGAATCAGTAGTTGATAATAATCGTAAATCTTCGGGATTTGATAATGTTATTGTTACGTCAATTGATGGTAATGGACATGGACCAATATCACAAGAACCATGATCTAAAAATACAAGAATTTATAAAAATTTAAATATTTTAAATAATTCTTTATTTATAAACCATTTTTAAGATCAAGATAAAATTGTCCTAATGTTGCTATATTAAATTGATATATTGTTTTGATTTGTCGAACAAGTTCTTCGTTTAAAACAGGTTTAAGTCGTTGGACAAGTAGTTGAAGTACAGGTGAAGTAGAATTATTGGATGATTTAACTAATAAAAAAGACATTTCATAATATAATTTTATCTGTTTATAGATAGGGCTAATAACAATAAGATAAACTGAAAACTCAAATAATCATAAAATAGAAAGTGATTTGTCATTGTTATTTCATTTGATAGAATACTGTTAGTGATATTCAAATTTTGATTATTCTGGGTGCTTCAGGTCAGAAAATGTTTTTTAAGAAACATTGAAATAAAATTTTCAATTAAAATATAAACATTGTAGTTTATCTAGACGTATTAGACACTAAAGTTAATAATTGCAGAAAATTATAATCTCATTCAAAATTCAGAAAAATAAGATCATGAAGTACTTTTACAATCTATACGAAGTATTATAGAGTGTTAGGAATGAGTATATGATTTTTTACTCTCGAAAAATACTTTCAAGAAGACAAATTTTTATTTGATCTAAGTATTACAAGATCCATGGAAAATTAAATGATCAGTTTTTGATTTATTTTCTCATTGTATCATGAATTCTTGTCCAGTCTCATATATAATTAAATATTGTATTTTAAAACTTCTTCTCTCTCTTTACTTCATCAGATGATGTTGAAATAATGTTGCCAAAAAAAAAATTAGCATTCCTTAGATAAAATAAAACTTTATCATCTAATAACCGTTCAAATCTTTGCAAGGAGAATGTTTCATATAATTTAATTCAAAAATTGTTAAAATGCCTTTTTTTATTCAGCATACAATAATGTATTCTTGATACTATTAAAAGCTGTTAGTGCAATCTCTGGAGGAACAAGATGTGAAACACATTGTAGTTGCTGTTGTTAATCACAGAAACATTGTTTTATTCTATGTATTTTACGATACATTTCTTCACCATCCTTTTACCTACTGCTCTACAAATGCAATAAGAAAGCAGTTTATATATCATAGCAGGACATTATTTATATACGATCTTTCATCGTATATCAAAAACGCCTGTCACAGTCTGTAGTTCCAAATGTTTACTTCTATACTTCAAAATTCCTTTTAGATTGTATTGCACAAAAATCCTATGAGATTTTGTTCTAACGAAATCCATATATCTTACCTGTAGTCGGCACATTAGGCGGTTGTTGTTGTTGTTGCTGCTGCATAATACCTGCAAAAATTTTTGTAAATACATTAAGTGCAGGATGTAAAGATGCTTGATTATGTTGATTTTCTTCTGCTGTTGAAATAATTTTTGTTTGTACACTAATTAATCAAAGAAAGAAAGAAAGAAAACAAAGAATTTCTTTCTTTTTGAAAAGTTTTTACTCACATATTAACTTTAGCTATGTCAATACCCCATTTACGAACAAAATAATTTAGTTCATTCTAAAAATTTAATTATTTTTTAAATGAAATTTAAGTTGATAAAAAAAAATTGTTGTACTTTAAGTGAAAGTTCAATTGTATAAATGTGTTGTTCAATTTTCATTCCATCAGTTTTGCTAAGTAATGAAATTAATGTTGAACGTGCCAAAGATTTTAATGATATTGTTATATCATTAAGACTATTTGATACAAGTATTGGATCATCAATATTATATTCAACACAAAGATTAACTTCAATTATTGAATTATCTTGACAAAGAATCTAAAACAATTCATAAATAATCATTAAAAAAAAAGAACAGAATTTATATTTACTTGAGTAGGAGAAATCGCAAGGCTATTTTGTGTTGTTCGTATACGTTTAATATAATCAACAAATGGCAGAACGACAGTTAAACCTGATCGACGAGCTGGAGTTTGAACACGACCCAAACGATAAACAACTAATCGTTCATTTTGACGAACACGCTAAATATTTATTCAATGGACAAATATTTTTGAAAATCAAAAATAAAAAAAATTTACTTTAAGAGCAAAAATCAATGACAAAGGTAATAGAAGAATTGTAAAAATTGCACAAAAAAGAATCACAAAATAATGAGCTAATTTTTCAATACCAACTAAGGGACGTTTTTCTATGTAAAAAAAATTATACATAAATCGTTTCTTTTGTTTTTTCTTTTTTATATTATTAAAAAATCTATTCACCTGTTAAAGTATGAAGATTAATTTGTCTTGAATATGAAAAAGCGGATTGATAATTAGAAATTGAACGATAATCATCTATAGATGGTTTTCCACTTGTTAATTCTATAATAGATGGTGATGGTCGTCCATCATCATCTTCAGTCGATATGGGATGATATTTGTGTGTTGGTGTTGTCATTTTTAGTTGATATTAAATAAACACCAATGAGAATTAATATAAAACCAATTAACCAAGTAAAATTAATAGGTTCAAAAAAGAATATAAAACCAACCAAAGCAGAAAGAAGAAAGTTACTAGTTTTAGTAACAATTGTTGGTTGAATACTTGTTGTTGATAAACTTAATGCTTTTGAATAACAACGCCACATAAAGACATTAGAAAAAATAAAGAGAATTATATAAACAATTGTTAATATTGATGCAAATGTTGGTTGACTAAATGTTAATTTACCAAAAACGGATGCGAAACAAGCAGAAAGACCAGCAAAGATTGAGTAAAAATTTACAGATGATTCAGGCATCAACAAGTAACCAAGAGAGAAGAAATTATAACGATAACGTTATGATTAATATAATTGGTGCAAGTAAAAGATATGAATAAATAGAAAAAGGTGAACCGATAGATGACGCCTTTGGACAGACACATAAAATCATTTTTGTATATTTTCCAAAGCATTTAAAATATTATTAAATGTGAAAGATAATTGGTTTTACGATAGAAAATATCATTCATACAAATTCTAACACATACAATATGAATAATATTTTAGTTATTCATTTTCTATTAGAGTGTTGTGTATCCTGCTAGATCAAATTCAAATTAGGTTTGAGTTTACAAGAATGTAGACCTGCAAATTCTTCATAACATATTCTTGTTTGATATCATTTATATAAATATCTTAACTTATTATTGAAAGCATTAAACGATAGAAGGATGAACAAAGAGCAATAATTTTGCAGTAACTTTTTTCTAAGAGTACACAATAAATAGCTGAAATTTTCATCCTTTATTTAGTCATATATACATAGTTTGTCATATACTCATGATATAATAATTTTGTTCTCAGGAGAATTGAGTAGAATTTGTCTTTCATTTGATTTACAATCTGCAAGTACGAACAAATCTAACAAATACTTTGCGAAAATATTAATGTTGACCAAATGTAAAAATTTAGTTTTTCTTCGATTTCTAAAAATGATTATGTAATAGACATCGAAATCAGACTACTTTGGGATGAGCTGACTCGGTCTGATCTAACTGAGAATGACACTATTAAAAGTATATTTCTTTTACAAAAAGGATTTCTACACGATAGAACTCCACAATTATTGCAGTCATTTATTAGGTCATTATAAAACTTTTATTATCGTAATGACTAGAAGTTTAATAAGATAAGATAATTTTAATGGTCAAAAAGACAAAATGAGAGATCCGTTTGTGAGTACTCTAACTTCTTCAAGACTATTATTTATTAACATAAGTTTTCATGAGAAAAATCTTCACTGATGAATTTCAAAGAATCATACCCGTTACTATGTTGAGTCACATAATTCGACTTCAGTAACATCTATGTCACTTAATGTAGGTGATAGTGTACTTAGTCTTGTGTGTAGATGAGATATGCCATTGAACTGAATAAATACTCTAACTTTATCTATTGATTTAAATGAAAATTCTGAAAGGTTCACATAATAAAGATTCCTAACTGTTACCAGTGGCAAGATGCAAAATCCATGTACGAAAAATAAGAAATCAATCAGAATATAATCGATTAAAGTGGTACTATTTTATTCTGATTGAACTCTTATTTTTCAGCTTTAAAGATAGGTTGCAATTGATGAAAGTCTTTTTTGATCAAGTGATATACTTTTATCGATAAAAACTGATTTTTCAAAATTGAATAAGAAAGATTAAAATCGACAATGAAATCCATCTTCAAAGTTGAAAAATCAGATTTGTTTGGTTTTTTTATGTGGGGGATCTTTCCTGGAAAAAGAAATAAAGTTCATGTTGAGTGGCCTATTTCGAACCTTGTTATGCATTCTTTCTTCTCTATTTTGACACCTATTAACTCATTTTAAAAGTCAAGACGAACTTAACACAATTACCCTATTTTGTTCAGGCATATTTTCAAAAACAATATCATGAGAACTTGAAGCCATTCGGGAGAAAAAGCTAAAGGAAATGATTTGAAAGAAAAATTTGACTTTTGTTTGTAGAACTAAAATTTAACGATGATAATCAAAGCTACTAATAACGAAATCCGTTCATCTTCTAAGAATTGGAAACTGTATTTATTTCCTCAATTCCTAAAATTAGTGTCGACGAAAAACATTAATTTAATCAAATAAAAAAAAATCATATCATAATTTTAGATACTAAGAAATTTCTTATAAATCTTTAATGTTTTTGAACGAAATTAAGAAGAGATGTCGAAAGATATTTTTCATATAAAAGACATTCTTTTTGTATTAAATGGGCACAAATGCATTTCAATCGTCTAACACCCATTTTTTCTTTGAAATGTTGAATTATTTCATTTTGAGATGATGGTACTAATTCAATTGGAATTTGTCCATTGTTATTAACATAATCCAAATGAGCACCAAAATTACATAATATATTAATAATGATAATTACATTGAATATTGAACCATTTTGAACAATTAAATGTAATGGAGTATTTTTATTTGAATCTAAAACATCTATATTTGCTCCACAATTAAGTAATAAGCGAACTGTCATCCAACATGGATAACTAAAAGAATGTTTTCTTATTTTAAATAAAATATAAAATTGATTACTTTCTTACTTGATTTCATCAGTAAAACTATCTGTTAAACTACTTGAACATAAATGAAGAAGAGATGATTCATCTTTCATTGTTCTATATTCATGTCGAATAATCAATCGAATCAATCGAAACAATTCTTGACGATCATTAATAGATATCTCTTGTTTTATTTTTTCATTAGGACTAAAAATTATCTGAGCAATAATTGTCATTATATAAAGTAATATATGTAGACTATAATCGAAATTTTTATTTCGAAAATTTGATTGAAGTTCATTATCAATGATTTTCAACATTCGTATTAAACTAGCAATAGGAACATCCATTTGATTATTCTGTTTCATTTCTATAAAAATATCAATAAAATTACGTAAATGTTCTTTCTTAAAACTAATATTATATTTTTGTTTTAAATCCATTTCATAAAACCACCAAGAAAGACAATCATTATATCGATGAGCATCAGCCAAAATAGCTCCATAATAACGAAGTACATGATGATAATCCTTACTCATATTACCAAGAAGACGTTGATGAATAAATATAGTTTCAATATGTAAATTGTCTTTTGAATTCGAACAGATAAGTTGATTAAATTGTTCAAGTGTTTCACATTCGGAACGAAAATTATATATTTCAACATGTTCAAAAGATAAAATTTTAGGTAAATTTTTCTTTATTCTTAATTGAAATGCTTCAGTTAAATATTCTACAGTTTTATTTAAATTTTCAAAACGTGCTACACATCCTCCAAAACTTGCTCCGAGTAATTCTTTAGCTTCAATCCATTCTGAATCTGAACAATAACCATCAAAAGCTTCAACTAAATTTATTTCTCCGTACAGAGCAGCACGCATCAGTGGAGTTACTTTTCTTAAGTTATCACGAATATTCATTGCTCCATTTTCTAATAGAAATTTAACAATTTCATATGAACAAGATTTTATTGCATAATACAGAGCTGTTTGACCATTTTCATCTTGTTCATTTATATTACATTTAAGTTCATTTACTAAATATTTAACTATGATAAAATATCGACGACCAGCACTAAGCATTAGATTTGTATAATTGCCTATTTTTCTTATATACGGATTAGCACCATGTTCAAATAAATATTTTGACATTTCAAGATTATTATTATAACATGCCACACGAAAAGTTGTACTATGCGTTTTTGTTAAGTGATTAATATTAGCATGACCTTTTTCAATTAATAATCGAACAATATCAAAATTATCGACAGCAACAGCTGTCCAAAGTGGTGAAACATCTTCAACGATTTCTTTTTGATTACCAATCATATCAAAAACAACAGTACCTTTAGCTTCAATATCAGGTTTAAAACGATTAAGTAACATACGTACAATATGTTCATGTTGGTAATAACATGCGACTAATAATGGAGTCCATTTTGATTGATTAAATGTAAAAAGTTTGTTGATACAGGTAGGATTTTGATTTAAATAAATTTCAAGAGAAATAACATGACCTTGACGAACAGCATTATGAATTAATTCGTCATTGTCTATAGCCAATGATTGAAATTCCATTTTGGTTAAATAATTTTTTTTTTCTTTTGTAACTATTGATCGTTACTTTATGTTGTGCATACGTTACAAGCAGTCGCTTGAGTCAGAAAACCTACAAGTCAGTGCATACTGTCTCATGTACAGAACAGAACAATTGTCGCATGGCTAGTTTATTTTGAGGTAGGAAGTATGCGCAAGTGAAAGGAAAAAAAACTTGCTGCAACGATAAATATTCAATTTTGTAGTAGTTGGCATTAAAATGAAGTTAATATCACTGTCTAAAATCGTGATATCCTTATTGTTAACTTTAAAAAGAATTTTATTTTTAATATAGATGTGACATTGAACTGATATGTTTGATCACACGTAAATTTAGTGTTGATGTTTTTTTTGTTCCATAGATCCTACTATTGAGCTCCAATAAAGTTTCTCTTTCAAGAAAGACAGGTCAATTTATAATAAACAAGAACTTTTTGTCCAGAACGTTTATAAGAATTTTGTAGGATCATACATATAAAATTCAAAACATCGTTTCAAAATTAATTGATTCAAGTTTTTTTTTCTGGTTTTGGAAGTTTGAAAGTTTAAAGTTGAATGCTCGAAGTATGAATTTTTCCATGTTTCATACTTTTCAAACTTGAAACACAATCAATTGTTGTATATTGTGAACTTTAAAGAAAAATATTCAAACAGTTAAATGTTGAACTTTTTGTTTCAAGCTTTGAAATATTCAAAACTATTGTTCGCATGATAAACACTTTGGCTACGTAGTTAACCTTTTTTATCGGTATCACGACATGAAAACATGCAGTACACCCTGAAAAAAGTGCAACTTCAGATGTGCAACATCAAGTTTTCTCTCCTACTTCTGGTCAAGCTCTAGTAGCTTTTCCCCAATAGTGTTGGCTTTACACATCTCTAGCTATAATAATATTCATAGACAAAAATAGGACTACTGTGCAACGATAATGAAGCAATGTATAGTGAATAAGATGAACGAATACAATTGGATGATGAGAAACATGTTTTATTCAAACTTACAGATTTTATTTTGTTTATGTCGTTGTCATTAAAATGGTGTGTTTTTTGTTGTATTATACGATATTAGTATGAACAGCATAAGTTGATTTTTGATGCAAGAAAATTTCACTTGAATAGTGGCGAGCTTAAATATATCATATAGCTTCACAATTTCGGTTCTGGTGTCTGTCTGTGTAAAGTTTTCATTTGTAGTCTTGCACGTCTCTAGCCACGATCAATACTCATATCTATTCATACAATGAAGTGTGTCGTAATTCTCGGCTTTAGGAAAAACGTCATATATTGAGCGACTGTAATAAACACCTGAGAAGTTGAATCTTGGAAACTGACATGGATGTAACACTCAACAGATGCTTGCGAGCTTTAAACTTTTCAACTTCAGTTTGAACTAATACTAAAACAATATTTATTTATGATGCATATACATGTATAGGAACAGACGAAAAATAAAATGTTTATTTTGTAGATGCACATGCTTACGATAAGCATCAGATATATGTTTCTTGTTAGGAAACTTCCATAAGTAATTTTAACAGAGACATTCCATATACAAAGAAGATACTATGAATGTTTTCTTATTTTCAGGACTTTAAAAGTTTCGAAGTCTCAAAACGGGAGATGCTGAAGAATAAACAGCTGGATCATCTTGATTGAGCTGGATGTAAATCTTCTTACAAGCATGTTTTTCAAAAGTTCTTTTCCGAACTATACTAAAACCAATACACGATGTAACTAGTGGTGATGATGGTATGGAGTTTGATGAAATTTGTTCTTGTTGCAAGTGATGTTGTTGTCGGTTCGAGTTAGGGATGCACCGATTTTGGTTTTAGAACCGAAACCGATGGAACCGATTGAAACCGATAAGAATCGGTTGGTACCATGCACAGAGAAATCGGAAAAGCGAAAGATCCAATGATGATTAATTGAAAGGATAGTGGTTGTATTTTCTCTCTCTATAACGCGGATCGGAATTTTTAGTGCTAACTCATACAGTCAAAATCTGTGTTGTGTGCAATTGTTGAATAGTACTCTATCAGTAGCAATATCCTGAACGATCCTTGTATCTGACTAGAGATGCAAAGATGACGATCATTCAGCGGTATACCATTACCGCTTCATCGATTCAAATCGATAACCGTAGTTATGGTTACCGGTCCAACTATAGTAGTCGTACCTAACGTTACCAGTTTTCACGAAAGAAACGACTATTTCTGAAAATAATAATTTGTATAAAGGTTGACGAAAGTAAATCGGGGTCGGAGAATTCGAATCTGAAATCAGTTTTTGAAATTTTGAGTTCCATAATCAACATAAAATGTGTTTTTTTAGGAAAAAAAGCATTTCTTCCTGGAAAAGCTTTCAAGGGAAAACACGACTTTGAGTAAGAGATTCTTTTTCTGGGAAACCCAAACTCAAAATTTGGAAAAACCGATTTCAGATTCAGATTCTCCGACCTCGATTTACTTTCGTCAACCTTTATACGAATCATCATTTTCAGAAATAGTCGTTTCTTTCGTGAAAACTGGTAACGCTAGGTACGACTACTATAGTTGGACCGGTAACCATAACTACGGTTATCGATTTGAAGCGATGAAGCGATAACGGTATACCGCTGAATGATCGTCATCTTTGCATCTCTAGTCAGATACAAGGTTCGTTCAGGATATTGCTACTAATAGAGTGCTATTCAACAATTGCACACAGCACAGATTTTGACCGTAGGAGTTAGCACTATAAATTCCGATCCTCGTTATAGAGAGAGAAAACACAACCACTATCCTTTCAATTAATCATCATTGGATCTTTTGCTTTTCCGATTTCTCTGTGCATGGCACCAACCGATTCTTATCGGCTTTTTGTCGGTTTTTATCGGTTCCGGTTTCGGTTCCAATCGGTTCCATCGGTTTCGGTTATTTGGAACCGGTAAAACCGGAACCGATGCATCCCTAGTTCGAGTTTAGAATGAAGCTCAGAATTTTGATGCACCATCTGTGTAACTGGGAGGGAAAGTAAAAGTCAGTTAAGTGTGAAATATGTGATGATGTCAAATGTTGAATAGTTGACAGCTCGAATAGTTGAAAAGGACAGAGGTATCCAAATTCAAGTACAATAGTTCTGTTGTTTACTGATGTATTTCAATCAATAAGACATGTTTTTCACATAATTCTATGTATGTAGTCAAAGAGTCCAAAATTTTAAAACGTATACTTTGTATTCGTATGTACTTTAATATATGTACTGTAACAAACATATCTGTGTAGCTATTTGACATCAATATAGGATGTATTCCTATAAACTACACTAGACAATATTATACGACCTTCTACGAATGGATCGTAAGGGAATCGATTGTATACACAAATTTTCAATCTTTCAGCTTGTCAGTAATTGTCAGAGTTCGAACTTTAGTCTTCTCCTCAGCAGAGAATTCTTGTGAGAGAGACACACATATGAAAGGAGCACTCAGGTGCAGAGATGGAATCGGACTGAATTTTTCACAATTGGCACTAGTGCCAATGTGAGTAGGCCAGATCAGATCAGACTGACCGGTCTAAAATTCATATCGACATTGGACTGACAAGTTGCCGACCTATTCCATCTGTGGAGGGCGATATTTGATGCAGTCAACTTTCGACAAAGTTTCATTGGATATCCTCTATGAGATAATAAGACCAGATGAGCAAATAAGACATATAGATTAGGATCGATCTACTGGCATACTAGCCGATTTGGAATCGGTACCGATTCCATCTATGTTCGACTGAGGTTAATGGATGTGAGGATGTCACAAAGACACACACGAAAATCTCGTACCCATAGTCACATTACTTGAAATAAACCGATGGGCAACTCATTGCTAATATTACTTGGATTCCCTGCTAGTTTTATCTATGTCAATATTTGAATCTTGCTCAATTAGGCATACTACTTAAATTTCTTTATACAAAATAAATTGATTCGATGAATCATTCTATTATTAGTTGAATAGATATCAATGCGGTTAAAATCAAGCATATATATCATGAACACTTTGTCGTGTCATTAACGATCTATTCAGTTTAACTTCATAAAGATCAGTATTCACAGATTGAATCTAATTAATTCTAGACTAATGAATTGTTTTCTTTAATTTTTTTCCAGTTAATAATACTGATGAATAATAAACACTGATCAATTCAATTTGTTCGTCAAGACCATTAGTGTCTTCGTAAATACATAATATCTCCTTTGGTGTATTAGCTGAGGTTTCTTTCAACGGTAACAATAAGATCGATCAGTACGACACAAGATAAAAATTATTGTTACGTATTTTTTCGCTTTGATTTCTTTTCAAACATTTATTTTTACCTCAAATTATTAACGTTACTTACTTCTTCCGGGGTGTCTACTAAAGTTTCTTACAAAAAGAACCTCTTGTGTTGAGAGAGATGCACAAAACTCCGTAATACTTTCTACATGTATACTCATATACGTGCATTGAGTTTTCAATTGCTTATACAGAGCTTCTTCTATAAATGCACGAGAGCTAGTAAGCGAAAAAATTCGAGAATCTAAATTAGTGAAAAGTCTTCTTTCATAATTAACAAAAATTCTTTACAACTTCTTTCTTACAATGTCAATACTCTTTTGTACGTCTTTCACAAGAGGATGATTAGGAGGTAGTGAACGTTGCCAGATTTCCTGAGCACGTTCATATAGCGAAAGAGCTTCCGAATACTCTCCCATATTGTAACGCAAACAAGCGATGCTGTTATAGGAAGTAGCCAATAGAGGAGGATTTGGAGGATGAGTTTGTTTTTGAATTTCAAGTGCTTTTTCATAAAATGAAAGAGCTTTTGTATACTCCTCCATGTTTCCATACACATCACCAATGTTGTTGTAAGAAATAGCTAAGTCAGGATGATTTGAAGGAAGAGTTTGCTGTTGAATTTCAAGGGCTTTTTCGTAAAAGGAAAATGCTATCGGATACTCTCCCATGTTTCGATGCACCTTGCCAATATTGTTGTAGGAGGTAGCCAATGAAGGATGATTTTGTGGAAGAATCTTTTGTCGCATTTCGATATCTTTTAGAAGATACGTAAGTGCTTTCGAATGTTCTCCTATATTTTGATACACCATACCAATGTTGTTGTAGGAAGTAGCAAGGTCAGGATGATTTGTAGGAAGTGTTTTTTGTTGGATTTCAAGTGTTTTTTCGTAAAAGAAAAGTGCTTTTGAGTATTCTCCCATTTTCAGATATACCAAACCGATGTTACCGTATGAAATAGCTAAATCAGGATGATTTGGAGGGAGTGTTTTCTCTTCGATTTCAAGTGTTCTTTCGTAATATCGAATAGCTTTCTCATAATCACCTTGACGTCCCTTGATACATCCAAGTTGGTGATAATAATGTTGTCTCTCGCTCTCGTCGGATGTCTGGTCGAGAAGCGCTGTATACAATTCTTCGGCCTTGTTAAATTGACCGATTTTGAGCAACAAGTTTCCCAACCGTGTCCAACCCGTTGGACCGGCAGCTTCTTCTCGTATATATTCGGTCAATTTACGCAGCTGTTCGTCATCATCCGATGTAAGTTCAAGATTCACTTGATAAAGTGGATGCTGGTTGTCAATTTTTTGAATGTCACCAATTCGAAAAACTGTGTGCATAGAAAAGAGAATTTCTTCTTCGGTTTTTATATCACTAACCTCCCGGATGGAGGCAAATGGAGCTGATGAAATCGATGGATCAACAGAAATTTGAAAGAGAATGCCTACCATATCGGTTTTAGTTAAGGCACCTCTGGCAAAAGCAAGGGAAATTTTGCGATTTTTACTGGTGGATAAGAAACTGTTGAAGGACATAAGTCCACGTTTTGTTTTGGTAAGTTTTTCGAAGTCACTATTGAATAAACCTTGTCCTCGATAGACGATAAAGGGCTTTCCATCGTATTGATTGATTTGTTTCTTGTGTAAATCTTCAATTTGGCGATGTAGATCACAAATAAAGAACCCCATAGGTATGATAGTGTCGCCATCTAATGTTCGAAGCGCTTTATTGAGCATTTGATATGTGAAACATTCTCGCGAATACCACCAGATAGCTAATGATGGTCTATATGTACGTTCAAATTCATCAATGATATTTAATTCAACCTTGTTTTTCTTGAAAAGTTCACGGCAATAATTGGCTAAATCCTTAACGGATTGTTGGTCATAGTTGATTTCAAATAGAATTTCCTTGAATATTTGTGAATACATAAAGGACGGTTCAAGTTTATCGAGATTTTCACTCGAATCCTCTTCATTCATACTAATAAAGCTGACTGAGATAGAATCTTGATTACATTGTTTCACAGCCGATTGCAGTGCTTCACATATAGGTTTGATTGCTGTATACACACCTTTGACTTTTGTCCATTTTTTCATCCATACTTCATGTGCAGCTTTATTGCCACAGAAGATGTAAATAGCATCTAACTGTTGCATATCATGAATGTCGGGGACTAAACATCGACCTAATGATCCCGAAGTAATGACGAAAGCTTTCTGGTCATCAATAACTTTGAGAGATCGAATGCATTGTTCTGGTGTGGTGCAAATATCGACGTCATTGACTACACCGCGCAGTTGTGCCAGCGTGTTTTGGTAATCTTGCTTTGTTTGATCAATATTGCTATCCACCCAGAACAGCAAAAAGTTTTGTGCCTTCCGTCGTCTTGGTAGGATGGTATTCGATGATGCTGTTGTACTTGCAACATTGTTCATAGATGAAATAACCTTATTCTTGGGATTTTGTTCTTCCATACTGCGCATAGGTTGAGTATAGAACTTCAACTGTTTCGTGATTTGTAATTTTATTAAATAATAATAGAGAGGGACAGCAAGCTTTCTGATTTAGACGAACACTGATTTTTTTTCGTTGGATACTTTATAGTATTAATTCTTATCTTTATGTTTATTATTATTACTCATGTGAGAATTTTATCGTGTGCTTCATGCGATTCAATGGTTACAAAGCAAGATGAGTGTAAAGGTAAAAATGAGTTCTTTCTCTTCAACGTGTTTGGAAGATAAGAGATAATGTTCTTATTGCAAAAAAAAGAAGTTTCTTATCTTATGTACTATCTATTAGAAGGACATACTGAAAATAGTCACCTTTGTGCAGTTATCTATAATAAATAAAAGTGAATTGTTTGACTGTGTATCGATAAATAGGCGAATGATGTTGACAGAACATTTTTGTATTAATCGCTATATTGGCAATAAAAAAGGCTCTATATAAGATTTGCTTCTCATAATTGAATTTGGCTGCTATTGGAGAAACGAAAGGAACTCATATGAAAACGTATAAGCAAATTGCACAATGTAAATATTTATCGTTAAAAATAATTGGATGAACACACACTAGGGATGTCCTCTCTACGGGAAATTTGTCGTAATCGATGGGATAATCAAAAAACAAACTTCGGATTTCGCTGCTCTAATTGTATTGAACTAGATCTGTTGTTGCTAATCCATGATATGCATTCAATTACAGAATGCTACATTTGTGGATACTGAAATGTTTCATAAATTCATTCGATTTTACGAAGTCCTTCAAAGAGAATGCTGACGTTATTGTCACAGAAGTAGTATATCAATGAGTATCTCTGGAATCAATCCTTTTTCTTCTCCAATTTTTGGTGCTAATGTGTTTGGTTAATGAGAACTGCCTCGATCTGACTATTTGTATACAGGTTAAGATCTAGAAATATTCCATTATCATTTTAGTGCATTGTCTTTTTTTCTAATTGAGTCTCAACAGTTTGTCAAAGTTATATCTAAATCTTTCACTGAGAATAAAAAGAGTATACAGTTTCATTCGTCAAGATAATCTTATCTATGTTAGCAAATACAGTAACTTTCTATGACGAAAAGAAACGATATTAAAATGATATCATTTACCATTCTATATATAAGGACGTAGTTTTCTTCATCATTTGACGCAATACTGATAAAAGTGTATTTGTCTTTTCTTTCCAGCAAGCTTGCCATGTGCGATTTTACATGATTTCTTGCTGGTAACTATAAATACACCTAAAGGATATGTTTAGCTATACAAAATCTATTTCATCGCATTTACACATACATAAGCATATTAAAAAACAGTTAGTTGAAGCGACTTTTTTAATACTAGTCTGTACATATCTAGGCTCATTTCAATGTGTAAGGGTAGAAATACTTGCAAAAATAATATTCGTCAGATCAAGAATCAAGAAGAAAACAATACTTTTGTACTTGAAAGTACTTTGAAATATTCTGAAGTGCGTGGAGATGAGGGCACAAGAGATCGCATAAGATACATCGGCACAGAGAGAGTACAGACACAGAATATTACGCAGAGTCATCATAAGAAAGGTGATGGATCAGAGGAATTACACATCTCATATCGCATTAGAGAGAATGACACCAAAAGGGATCATACCGCTTGCATCATCCTGTGAGGGATATAAGCCGAAGGGATTATCAAAACATATATCGCTAGAATAAGGCTATGAGTGAAATGGATCATAGAGAACGGATGTCTAAAATGACGTTGACAACATATGAGTAATAGTATATTTCGTATGTTATACCCATTATAGTAAGTAATAGGTGTTTAAGCTAGCTTTTTTGTTTTGTTATGAGCTGTAGTCCTGTTATCAAATACTTCAATGAGTGATGGTGAACAAATTTTGAAATCAAATGATTTCCATGTGAATTCATTTGAAGTGTGAAATCTCTAGATGTGAAATATGCTTGAAATTTGGGAGAAAGACGTTCTTGTCCAAGACGTTGTATGTTAATTCTGACGCAGCATTCCACTGCTTTGTTAGTTTGATACTGCTACATTAATCGTTCGGAATTTTTACTGATAGTCAAACTTTTATTAGACATCTATTCATGTTAACTGTGCCACAAGAGACTCATAATTCTCTAGACTTAGCCAAATACCTGTGTTCACACTTTTCGTTCAATTTTACTATCAGATCAATATTGGAATTTCAAGCAAAATCCCGAAACCACGAATCCAAAAAGCTACTGAGAAATACAAGAAGAAAAGATCCTACAGCTGAGCTTTTACACATTGATGTATGTTAAAATATATTGAAATTCCCTAAACTATTTTAACGTATATTTCATCTCAACAAAACTACTTCAAGTCTTAAGTGTGATCTTCTCCCTGAGTTTCTTCGATTATTTTATTGTTTTATTTTCTTCATTCATTTCGCTTGTCTATTTCCCAGACATTAATTGAGTCAGTGATTATACTTACATACATTTCAACTATTGTGAATTAAATTTAAGAAAAAACGTGATAAATGCATGAAGGTTTAAATCTCTAACCTGTAATCTTGATTTTTCCCCACATTGATCATGCATACATAGTTGCATACTTGCTAGAAAATTCCATATGAAAATGTCTCATCTACTTGTGTTGAATACTTCAAGTCTGTTGCGTCTAAAATGCCTTCTCATGCTCTAATTAAATCTTCATTGTAGAAACAACTTTGTTTTAATATTCTCTATGATGCTAGAAAGAATTTCTGAAAATATGAGTTACAAAAAATAAACGCCTTTGCTTTTATTTACATCGTTGGTCGTTGTGAATCACTTTTATCAAGATTTGACCTAAGTTGAAACAGTCTATTTATCAACATGCATAGAGCAAGATTTAATATCAGTCAAAACAAGACAAGAAGTCTACCTGAGTTAATGTACATCCATCCTGTGCTCGATCACATGACAGTGACAATAAAATGTTCACGCACGGCATTTGTGATGTTCGATTACTAACTCAATAACAGACAGAGAAAATATAGGAATTAGTCATATCATGCATTGACTACTCAATTTCTTATAATAAGCATATATCACGGTGAGTCTTTACTTTTATTACTGCTCAGAAAATGCTGTCGTTAATGAGAAACTAAAATTGTGCAAAAAGACTCACAAGAAAAATGATTTATTTTGATGGAACCTTTTCATGAATTTTTTCTACAATTTCATGATCAATTTCTAGCTTCTTCTCTGTATTGATCATTAATAATGTTAACAGTTATGTGCAACAGAAGAAAATATAATTGCAGTTTACATCGAATTAGATTTATACTTATAATTTGTCTTCGCAGTAAGCAAGTCGTTTAACAACTTTTTCTCTACCTGAACTTAATTCCTGTTTAATAGGTGTAGAACCAAAAAACTCATAAGTAACAGCATTGAAATCAAGATTTTAATATTCCCATATAAAAATCCATTGATTTGATGCAAATATTAATCATCCCATTTACTTATTCAACAAGTTTATGCTAAATTGTTGTTATAAATAATTCTTGTTGTTGAGTCATAAACTTGTTCATTTTTATTTTTAAGATTTAAGAATTGAAAGCTTAGAAATCAAACGTTTTATCGTACCGTAGTTTTTGATTGTTTGTAACCCTTTGGCGCCAGGTTTTTTTTGAAAAATTATAAAAATTTTGATTTCTTTCAGAAAGCCTAAAGTAGGATATATACATCAAGAGAAAACAGTGGATTCCATGATACTGCATGGACCTTCATAAGAGTCTGAAACAGGACAGCCTAGTATAATGGTGCAGAATCTTATGAAATCCTGCATGTAGTTTCGTGGAGAACCTTGAATTCTCGCATCATAATATGGATCTAATAAAATCTAACGTCTGATCGTCTATGAGACTAGAGATTTAGCAGCAGCCACAACTCGATGTGACAACAATGGTTCTTGGATTTTATGTGATTTTTCAGGATTCTGTTTGATTTCATTATACTCCAAAACACTTTGGAATTGGAGATTCTATAGATTTCCGTAGTCTTTCATATTCAAAATTTCTTGTTTCTCCCTTGATATATATGCATAGTAATACCGCACGATGATGCTGTAATACACACTAATGGCATAGGCAAGATAGAAATTCATAGAAGTATAATCTGTGCAAAAGACTTAGCCCGCATATATGCAGGCTCCGGCACGGAAGGGTTAAGTATATCAAATTTTTTCTTATATAAAATCAATTGCAATTATATTTTTGATCTAGAATAAAAACTAATAGATGAACTAACCTATGCGACAAGCTTTTTTAAGTCAGAACCAGGAAAAATTATATTGGAGAATACTATATATTTGACATTTAGTTTATTAATTTAACTAGAGGGTATGGATCAAAATAATGATAGTATGAGTCATCATTATATACTTTTTAGATAGTTATAAAACTTGTATTGTATACAAAAGATTCCAAATACATTTAGTTAACGTGTTCCATTTTTTGACTAAAATATAGCTTTGTAGTTCGATACATCATTTCGTTTACTTCCATTTCATATAACATCAGCATTTCGACAGTTATCACAAAATGAATTGAAACTTCAAATCACAGCGGTTTTACTGAGTCAGACTTTCATAGCTACATAACTAGAATTAGATAGTCAAATAGTTTCTACAGGAAGAAAATAAGCGAAGAAATAACCATAAACATAAACACATAGATATACAGCTATAATCATCGCTTATAGACATTTTCAATAGCAAGTACGTAGCGTCTCACAAATTCAAACTGAATTAATAAATTTCTAAGTCAACACATATATACTGCCGTTTCAGATATCCATTTTTCGTCTCTAAAATTTCCATGATCTATACAAAATGAGGTAAGACACATAGAATAGAGCACACCAAAAGCTATCGATGTTTATATATAAAATACTGATTAGTTTGTATTTCTGAGCATTTAAAACTTTAAAAGTTCCTTCTCAAACCCTCAAGATCATTTTGGTTTTCTGAACGAACTTTTTGATAAACAATTATAGAAATGAACAAGAAGCAATAGGGAGGATCTATTGAAAATTTTTCAAACTTGAACATGAAAGAAGACCAGCGATCTGCTATGACCGACGAGAGGAGGATTTTGCCGAGGTGATTAGATATTGTCGTTTAGCCTGGTTCTCGCATGATAAATATGAAAAGTATACCAGAGAATTAGTCTTTTGTACATAAGAATTAAATAACTTTTAAAATTGAAAATGAGTCAGATCATCCCTATAGGTAATGAGCGACGTAAAATTAATTTATCACTCTTCACTCAGCTACACATTGATCATTATAGCTAATGTTAATAAAGAGATGTCTTTCAATGAGTCCATAATGACAAATAATTTTCAAGTCATTGTCCATGTTTCTTTTAATACAAAATATAAAAAACAAAATCACATAAAGATAAAACATACTATTTCCGAACAATATTATGCATTATAAACTTTAACCACTTAGAAATATAATCTTTGTCGAACGATGGAAAATCTAATGCAGAAACAGCATTGTAAAACCGATCAGCTGATACAATACTTCTTTCTCTAAAATCATCATTGGAGAAGAATTCTGCTACAAATTCAAGAGGATTATTTTGATTATTGATTGTCTTCATTTTCATTTTCCATTCATCATACGAAATGCTTTCCAATTCAATACCATCATTATGCATACCATCAATTATATCAACAAATTTTATTTCATTATTTCGATTGATTACATGATAAATATTTCCAAAGACATTTGATTGAATATTACTCAAATATACAATACTTTTTGTAGTAAAATCAACTGGTAAACCATTCAAATGAAATTGAATTAATGATTTTGGATAACAATTCATCTTTATCATTCCAGCAATTAATAATGTATAAATATCATGTTGATTACATGAACCTGTTCTACTATCAGCACAAATCAATCCTAAACGATAAATATTAACTGATAAACCACAATAATTCGCTTTGGCAATAAGTTTTTCAGCTACCCATTTACTTTGTGCATAACCATTAATTAACTGTTCAGGAGAAGTTTCATCAATTGATATCTCTTTGTCAATATGAGGAGATAAAACACTTATTGTTGAGATATATTGTATAGGTATACAAGAAGATGGAATATGAGTAGCGAAATGAATAATTTCTCGAGTACCATAAACATTCGGTCCATAAAGTTGACTATATGGAAGAATAAAATTAACAGTTGCACCACAATGATAGATAATATCAATTTGACGAGCAAATGATTCATATGTTTTATCATCAAGTCCAAAATGATTTTGTGCTAGATCACCTTGTAATGGAATGATTCGTTGTTGATAATCATCTTTCCATATTTGATAAAATAACATATTCTTTCGAATACGATCTAATGCATTTATTGATGATTGACATCGAATAAGACATACAAATTTACATTCCAAAGGATATGTTGTTAATAATTCTGCTAATAAAAAGGCACCAACAAATCCTGTTGTTCCAGTTATGAAAATCATCGAAGGAAAACCATTTATAGATTTATGTTTATCAATTTTTATGTTCAAATCTAAATGAGAATCATTTAATAATTGTTGTACTATAATTGATTGAGAAAATGAAGAGAATTGAGAAGGATTTTGAATGAAAGTTGTTAATCGTTCTAGATTCATTGTAGAATCAAATAGTATGTTAAATGATAATGGTATTCCAAGATCATTTTCAATCATTCGAGATAAACGTATAGCTGCTAATGAATCTCCACCAATACTTAAAAATACATTTTTTTCTTTATTATCTGTTGAAATCGATTGTCCAGTAACAGTTTCAATAATAGTTTTTAGTCGTTGTTCAATACTATTAGATGTTTTAAGTCGATCAGCATAATGTGCAGCTAATTTATAACGACATAATTTCATTGAAGAAGTAAGAAGACCATTTTGAGGTGTGAATGGTTCAAAATCAATAATGATTCCTGATGGAATTTCATGTTTTCGAAGTGATTCTTTTTCACCTATTGAACGAAGATCTTGTAAGACAGCATCAATAAATTCTGGATGAGGATTATTCATATCAAAGTCTATCAAATTATGTTCAATAGCATATGCTTGTGCATATTTTCGATCAGGAACAATAACTGCAGAGACAGAATCTGATAAAAGATCACCATGAATGTAGATTTGTTCAATAAAAAGACTTTGCATATAGATATTTTGAAGAAATTCAGGTGAAATAAATTGTCCTTGAGAAAGTTTAAAGAAACTCTTCTTACGATCAATAACACGTATATCAATTTGACCATTTTGACAAGTATGTAATTCAACAATGTCACCTGTTCGAAAGAATCCATCTTCTGTAAGAGTAGCACGAGTTTCTTCTGGATTATTGATATATCCCGAAAACATTTGTGCAGTCTTTGTTAAAAGTTCTCCACGAGGAAATGGTTTATCTTCGAGTGAATAACCCATTTCTGGAACAGATTCAAGACGATACTGAAGTGTATCTTCAACAAGATTATTGTATGTGACGCTCCCACATTCAGTAATTCCATATGATTCATTGACTGAACAATGTGTAAAACATCGTTTCATGAAATTTAATACTACTGGACTGACCATAGCACCACCAATAGCGATTGATTTACATCGATTAGGAATAAGTTTTGAGAATTGTTGTAGAAGATGTTGTTCTTCATCTGCTATGACTTCAGGTGGACAGTGAGCAGTTATCAATGCAAGAGAAGTTTTAAATTCAGTATATATTTTGTTCCAGATACTTGGAGGTGCGCCAAAATATGTCGGCCTAACCAGACCTAATTCTTCCATAAATCTGGAAGGATCTCCTGTGGAGAATCCTGTGCGCCCTCCACAGAGAAAAGTTGTAATAATAGCATCACGATCAGCTGCCCATGACAATGGACGGTAAGACAATGTAACACGCTCAAGAGAAGAAGGTAAGCACCATCGTGGAAACGTTGCTCGAAAGGCACTTTCCGAGATGATAGCACCTTTAGGAAAACCAGTACTGCCACTGGTATATATGATTGTGAGGCAATCGTCAGGTTCAACAGTGACATAGTCATACTTTTTGATGAAACCAGCTTGTTCGATATCACCCATAAAATGTATGGAGAGACCATTGTCCGGTGTGTCTATTTAAATTATGTTAATAGTTATACCGAAAAAAGACTAACCAGTACCTTCAGCTTTCTCTAGTTCCTAGCCTGGTTAACTACTGAAAATGTTACATCAGTAAGAACTTTGCTTTTTGAGACTGTTTTGAATGTATCTAAATCGATAACTTTGCCTTGAAATTAAATATCAAATTTGGTCCGAACTTGAATCGATTCTTGGAATTATCTTTTTCCTGAGTGTGGTGAAACCCCTTTGCATAAATACTGTGCAAGCGCTAGTTTGATCGTTTGCAATTCAAAAGTAACAAATATTTATTATATTATTGAAAAACAAGAAACAAGACTGAAAGATAGGTGAAACTTATACAATAAAGGTAAGAAAATGGTACTGCTCATTATATGGTCTCGTGTGTATTCATAATCACCAAAATTATGAAAAAGTGGAACTCATTGACTTTCTTCTAGTTTCGCTGACTGCTGTAAACAATCATATTAAGCCAGCCGTTGAAGTTACATAGTTTAACTCATTTTGAATCTGATAACGTCACAGAAAAGAAAACTTTTCATGATAACTTTACGTGATAGTTTCTCAAGGAGTGCTCTACCAAGAAGTGATTTTGAATTTTAGTTAGGATTAGTTCTAGTGTCTCATTATAGACTCACTTGATATTACATCGGGAATAGGATCCATGCAGACAATATGTTGGAGTGATGGACATTGTGATTGCAAGTCAATAAATCTTTTTAGCATTTTTTTGTCACAAACGACAGCCGATACTTTTGTGTTGTTGACGATATATGCAATTTCACGATCATTAAATAAAGTGTATATTGGTACGCTAATAATACTTTGGAAGATGCATGCAAAATCCGTAATCATCCATTCAGGTCTGTTTCCTCCACAAATAGCAAGATAACCACGTGGCTCAATTAAACGTCGTAATCCATGCCCAAAGTTCTTCGATCGATCACCTATTATTTTAAATGTAAGCCATGAATATGAGTCCATATAGATGGAAGGATTCTCTTTGTCAACATCACGTGTACCCATGCAATGGCGATCTGAATACATTCGTATGGCAGCTCGAATTGCAGTAGCTAGATCTGCTGTAGCACATTCTATTGTTTCTTCACGACCATATGCCAGTTCAGGAATCATTCGATGCGGATGTGGTGGATCGACTGTCGTTACACATTGTTCACAGTAATCATAATTATCACATACTGTGCAATTGAAGCGATATTCACCATGCAAGAGAAGCCGACTGCATGCATCACAGTACCAGTAACTTTGTTTCATAGGCTCAGTCATTATAATAGCAATCTCGAAAAGAATTGAAGAGACAATGATTAAATATATTATCTTAATGTAATCATCTTTTGTTATTGATGGATACTTAACAATGATTTTCTAGGACGATCGATATGAGAAAACTCTTATGGAACTTGATCGAAGCAAAAGTTTTTTCTCATCCTTTTCTCTTCTAACAGTGAACAACACATTAAGCAACTGCTAGTAGATGATAAACAATGATTTGCGCCTTATATTTTACTTAAACTTGCAAGAAATATCGTGATTGCTAAATGTGTGAATCATATTTGAAGATATTCTAATGTAGCCAGATAAAAAAGTTACATAGCATACAAACGGATTGTCCAAATGTATCGCTGTTACACTTTCTTTCCATAGATTGTTGGGCTCCTGTTATTCTATGTAGATTGATCTAAATCGATTTTTTTTAACTTCCAAAGAAATTTCGCTTCGACTTTTCAATTAAAGATTGCGTTGGCATCTACAGGATTCTCTGTCAGACTGATAATTTCTTACTGTAACAAAATATATTTCTGCTTTGGATTCGAAACATGCGCAGAGGCTCTTAGTCACTAAAATTTAACCGCATAATATCTCAAACACTAGTATTTCTCCAGCTGCCAATGAACACCTGGTCTCCTTTGAGCTGAGTATTTGTTTTTGGTGCTCCTACTAATTATTTTTTTTGGTTTTTTTTTTAAAACTTAATTCAACAAAAATCTAGTTAGAGATACATTTTCCTACGTTTTATCGACTGCCTATATATATATATATATATACCAAGAAAAACGAAGTCCAAATAGTATTAACAATTGTGAATGTCTACTCTCAATATTTCATACCTTATTTTTGTTAAAAACACAGAATAAATACGTATTACTATGGTTACAACTAATCGCGGCGAGAAAAATCAGCATAAACAAATATTAGAGCTTTTTAGAGAGATCCATCGCTACATAAGTAAACCAAAGTTTAAAATCAGGCTTGAATTCTATGCAGTTTTTTTTTTTTTTTGCATATAAGTTTATTGTTCCACACAGGGTTAACAGACAAAGATACATAGAAAAAAGAAAAAAAAAATGACAAAAAGAAAGCTTGTTTTTATTACAACAATTCTATGCAGTTACTCTCTGACGCTTATAATATTGAAATTATTTCCTAACTATATAAGCTGAGAATAGCACAAAAAACTCGGCTTTTCGTAGCATCGTTGCGTTTATTCACCACAAGATGCAATTTTTTTGATCAGAAAATAGTGCATCAGAACCGTCACCAAAATTTATTTATGGTCCACTAGTTTGTTTATTGGTATGCTGTAAGTGGTTTGCCAAAATTTCGAAATAAGGTCCTTTTCTTAATGCTGCTACAGCGATATTGATCGAGTATTATTTTGAACGCATCTCAATGTGAAGAAAAAGAAGAAAGGTTATTTCTTTTGCCAAAAGAAAGACCGTACTTGATAGTTTACAAAACATTTAATAGTGAGGGTTTGAAGTGAGACATTGAGGTGCGCGTTTAGTTTCAATGTAAGACACAAAAAATTGTAATGGACAGTATGACAATTAATATTTAGTGTAGACAGTTTTACAGACCTAAAGAACATAATTTTGGAATAGCGAAACATATTATCTTACACTCTCGGGTTTGCTCTACCTCGTGGCATCAATGTTTATTTCCAATTATCAAATAAATATTTAATGCCAAAGATGGAGCGTTACATTGACAAGCCGTAAAACGAATATTTTCATATTTTATTTCATTAGCTTTTTCGGCAAGTTGAGTCCCGATGTAGAAATTCTCCCTGAATAGATATAAGTAGAAAATAATACGTACTTGAAAAGTTATCTATCATAGCAAAATTAAAAGTTAAAACGCATAGGTAGTCAGCAGCTAAATGTTGCACAAGAACTCTGTAAGAAAAATGACTAAACAATGATTCATTCAATCGAATACAATAATAACACAAACCGTTTGCAAAGAATGCTGTCATATTCACAGAACGACAAATAGTTTGCTTTTTTTCTTACTATATTTATGCTTAATATGTATTACATCACATATGAGTCATTTATATTTAGCAACAAGAAACATTTCAGCACAAAAAATATGTTCAATAGTTTGACATGTGATTTGAATGAAGTGTTCGAAGTAATATGCAGAGCTTTCTTCTATTTGGTTGCAAAAACTACATAAAAAAAAACTTCCCATTAATAGAAACAGCACTGTGTGTGTAAAAGAGAAAGCATCAGGAGGAATAAAATCACAGAATAGATTTTAGAAATCCTCGAACTTTCTATACTCGAACGGAAATATAATTGAAAAAAGGTTCTCTATATGTTCATATGTTTATTGATGAATGATGTAGAGATTACATTTTAGATATATAAATTTCAATCATCTTGATTTTTTTGTTGTGCACCTAAATGAAAATGAACAATTGTATTATGAAATCAAAGTTGTTATTTGCTCAATAATCGAAAGAGTGAGTGAAATACTCGTATTCTTTTCAAAAATGTAAAAATCATATTTATTTGCAGAATATAAAGGACGTTTCATAAGGTTCGACTCCCTTTTTAGTTTTTTTTCTATCTTTACCATATTCAATTGTAGAGAGATGTAGAATATATATTCTTGAAGAGCAACATATAAGCTATCAATCAACAAAATTTATATTCAATCTACATGAGCTCTAAGAGGGAACCACATCAATAAAAGTTTCGAAAAAATTTTGTCAAAGTCATTTCTTAATTTTTTGTCTATCAGGATCTAAGAAAAATAGCAGCCGCTTACTCATTCCTTAGTTGCGAGTTATACTAACTCCTAATTGGCACATTAGATTTCGCTACCATCTAACAAGTATTAACCGTATTTTTTTATGCTAGAAAAAACGGATGTCAAATTTCCTCTGTCATGGTCACCGCTTGTCTCTTTAGTTCAGACATGACATTATAGTGGTGTTGCCTAAAAATACACGCGAATACGAACTTCTTCTCACTTGAATATCATACCCATAGGAAAGGAGTGACAAAAATGACTCGCGACTAGAGAACCAATTATTGGAGGCTATTTTGTTTAGATCCTGATAGACAAAAAATGCATTTAACAAAATTTTTTCAAAACTTTTATCGATGTAGTTTTCTCTTACGGTTCATGTAGATTCAATATAAGTTTTGTTGATTAATAGCTTAGATGTTTCTCTTCAAAAATATATGTTCAATATCTTTCTGCAATTGAATACGGCAAAGACAGACAAATTAAACAAAAAGGGGGCCAAACTTATGAAACACCTTTTATTTAATTTTCTCCTCAAATATCTCTTTTCTTTGTCTTTCTACTTCTCCACTAGGTCAAGTATTGTTTTAATAATTCATTAGACAGAAAGAGACTTTCAATCTGTCAAATCATTGATCTTATTATATTTAATAGCGACTAACCACATAGATAACAACATGCTGTTCAACTAGAAGTTAGCACCGAATGATGCTAAATTATTTTTTTATCGATGGATGAGATAATCAGCTAGTTTCCATGTATAATAATTTCTATAAGAGTTTTCGTTATATATTTCAAAATGAATTCGTGTTGTCCGTCACTATTAAGTAACTATTATTTTGATCAATATGAATTTTACCTTTTCAAAATAACATTTCTTTTAAATGTCTATTTATATGAATAATATTTTCTAGAATTATATCTATGATTGGAATTCCATTCAGATTATTTCTTAACAGCAGTTATTTATTAAAGTGATAACCGCTGGCATGTACAGGAACTGGATTTTTTGCTAAATTAATTTGTGAAAGATCGATTTATTATACGTTCTAGCATCTGATTCCAACGATATTGTAGCCTTCTCAAAGTTATTTCTCATTGAAGTAAGTGTGAACTCGAAAAATAAATGATCTCAGTTACGCTATGTTAGAATAAAAAACTGAATTTCTACAATCATGCAGTGTTCTTTTTTCGGATAAGATTGAAATCCGTTGTTTTTCAATCTTTTCAGCTAATAAAAATTCAATATACACTAATATTTATAGTACTTATCTTAGTAAACTTTGTCAATAACCATTATGCTGATTCAATTCTTGCCATTATATAATAATTAATAGAACAGAAAACATATGCAGACTTTCAAATAAGACAATGATAAACTTCTTTTATATTCTATTGTCCCAAAAATAAACGATATACATTTTTTTTAAGAAAAAAATAATAATCGCTGTAGTATTAACACATGTAATTTTCCTTTATCTTAATCAGCATAACAGCTAGCATGACACAAGAAAAAGAACTCATAGTAAACGAACAAAAACATAAAGTGATGAACAGAAAGAAGTATCTTATGGCTCACAATGGCGTGTAATTAATTGCAAACATTTTTGATTAAATAATACAAGTGATTGATCAAAACTATCCATATTTGATTTTCCAATCAATTAACCTAAGACACAAAAAGTAAGAGACATTTGATTGAAACACAATGAAGATGAGAATTTACTAATTTTGCATAAACATTTCATAAAAAAATGAGTAGCTGATGAATCATTAATTATTTTATTTTCTATAAAAACTAAAGTTTTTTTTTTCAAAAGATACTTTAGCTATTGTATTAGCTAATCGATTGATAATAAGATCATTCTGTTTATGAACTGCTACCGCATATACCATGTTCATAAATTCATCGTAGTTTAAATTTTTTTTTCGAAAGTATTTAATAAAATTTCATGCCCATCATCCGCTATCGTCAATTGACCAAATAGATCAATTATTAATTGGAGCATTTTGTGTCTGTCTTAAAACAAACGTCAAAGTACCTCTAGATAAATTTCATTGTAGCTATTTTTAACTATGGACCACAAAGAATTCTATTGGCTAATGGAGCTGTCTATAATAAAACGTTTTTAGACATCCCATGTAAGAAAACTGATACGTAAAATCGATTGAGATTATAAACTTTCGATCAATTATAGTAAAAGAAAAATAATCAAAAATATCGCAAC